GGCAGAAGCGGCGGCGGAGCGACAGGGGCTCAGCTGCATTTTCCCCTGCCTGCGCCCGTCAGTCCCGAGCAGCATATGGCTCTGCCGCTGTTTCTGCTGGCCAGTGCTGACCCAGCCGGGCTCCTCCCGTCCCCAGCAGCACATAGGAAGCCGGCTTCAGCTGCGTGCTGGATGGGACAGCTCTGGATGGGACAGACCTGCCCAGGTCGGCAGCAGCCAGCAGAGGCGGCAGCGGAGCCATGTGCCGCTCGGGACTGACCAGCGCAGGTAGGGGGAAAGTGCAGCTGAGCCCCTGCTGCTCCGGCTGGGCGCATCCTGTCCCGAGGGGCACATAGCTACTCCTCTTCCCACACGCACAGCGTCAGCAATATCAAGCTGAGGCGGTGCGTGTGAGAACCTTGTCCCTTCCCCAGCCCTTCAGCAGCCATTAGGAAGCTGCTGAGGGCCTGGGGGAGGGACAAGGGGTGGGAACAAAAGTAAACAGTGTTTACTTTCGTTTTCCGTCGTAGCACCACGGGCCACAGAAAACAGCTTGGCGGGCTGCATGGCGGCCCACGGGCCGTATGTTGGACAAGCCTGATCTAAAGTTTTGACCACCACTGCTCATTTGGAATTAGAATCAGTGTATTATTACCAAACCATAGTGAGTGGAAAAAAGGCGTGTCAAAAATTGGAGGGGGGTAGGATTCTGGAGTGTTTCTTAGCAGCCACAAGCTGTAAACAGTAAAATATAGAACATTCCTGGACCTGTTCTGAGTTATGTCAGGAACCATTCTGGCCCCAGCCAGTCCAGGATCAGGGAAATGTATGTTGCAGAAAGAGTGGGGAAGGAGAGGGTGGAATACAGCCACTTTTCCCTTGCGAAAAGCTGCACTGAGAATTCAACCCAGAATCTGTTATACAGTCATCAAAGATGCATCAAAGATTTACTTTCAAAGTTGGGGTTCTCTTTAGAAGTATTAAAGTAATAGGAATATTTTCCTTTTCTGAACATAATGGAAAAATAAATATTTTAGTAATCAAGCTCAACTCAAAAAGAGCTTCACAATCCCGTTAGTGGGGCAGGTGGGCGTAGCGGGGAAGTCTATCCCTTACAGGAGAGAGAGCAAATGCTTGTTCGCAAGTCTGACCAACTCAAAAACCAGGCCAGGTGTTTGGGAGAAGTAGTGGAGGCATCTTAGTGAGGGAAGCGAGGTCTTAGTGCATGCTTGGTGAGAGAGAGGTGATCAGGGAGACTTTTTATGGGAAAGGAAGGGCACCCTCTGTGCCCTTCTCCTGTGAGATGAAGAAATTGTAAGTAGATCAAGGTGGCACAGATTGAGAGCATGGAAATTAAGAGATTGTTATAGTTGCAGGGGTGGGGTGGTTAAAGGAGCAGTTGAGACTTGCTAACTTTATATTGAGTTGCTGTAAAATGGTTTGTAAAAATTAAAAGCTGGTGATGGTTAGTACCATTTTGATTTCTCATGGGCAAATCAGAAATCACCCTTTATTTATACTAAAAATCATTCTAGTCCTAAAAGCATTAAAGTAACCTTTTGAAATCTGCTCTAGCAAAGGTGCTCCTTGTTACCACTTCAAACCTTGCTTGCAAACATTGGTAGAAGCTGCTTACTTTCATTCTGCTCAGTAAGGCTTGCATTTAATTTATAATTTGCATTGCATTAGTGAAATCAAAATATGCAAGTACTACAAAATAAATATATTTCAGTGCACTAGGTTACAAATGATTTCTGTGAGGAGTGGTCGAAACAAGCTTATTTTTCAAAGCTCTCCCTAGGACAGAAAAACAAGCAGGAAGTGGGGAAGGAATTGGCCTACAGAGCTGATACAACCAAAGAATAAAATTATTAGCATCAAGAAGAAATTAAATATGCAAGCAGGTGACTTCGTTAATGGACAGTTCTCTCTTAAGACATGCTTGGTCTCTTATGAAGTGAGCATTGGTATTGTAGAAGCAAATCAAGCTTTAATTTTTTATAAAGTTCTTTATAACATCTGTAAATCCTAATAAAATATCAAGTGTGTCAGGTAATGACCAAGCAATAAGAAAAAAGTTCTATTAAAATTATAATTCCTTCTACTGTAGAAAGTTTTAAAATTAAATTTATGACTGAATACAAGCAATAATTAATCTGTCTTGTAACAGTGTTGTCTGAGTATTGATGTATGGTAAAAAGTGTATCTTTAGACTGCTCTTTCAACAAAAACCCATTTAATTGATTGTCTATAAAAACAGATGCGTTCCAATCCATCTCTGTCCACTTGTACATATTACTTAAAATTATCTTTAAAAATTGGTGTACTTCAGTGAGAACTCTTGGGAGCAACCCAAGACCAGCTTGAGGATGTTGTTGTGTTTGCAGATGTTGATGAACTAAGTTTACGGATGATCAACTATTAGTGGAGTTTAATGTTCATGAAATTATTCTAGCCAACAAAATATTTCCCTTTCTGAATATTCTGTTGATAAGGAAGTTAAACAGAAATAGCATAAGATATATTTACTCTGGTTGTTTTAAAAGACTACTTGGATATTTATTTGAGTAAGTGTCAACATTTATGTTGTATCTGTAAAAGGCTTGTTTTAACCTTTTCTTGCTTCATTATTTATAGCAGGGCAGGCAATTATTTCAGACAGAGGGCTGCTTACTGAGTTTTGGTAAGCCATCGAGGGCCACATGACAGGCAGCCCAGGGCAGATGAATATTAATTTTCTAAATATTTTAGGGGCCCCGTGGGCCAGATAGAATGGCCTGGCAGGCTGCATCTGGCTCCCGGGCCACATTTTGGCCACCCCTGGTTTATAGTTTCCATTTAATTTATCTCTAGATCCTTAGTTTTAGTGAGTGTGACTAAAACTCTCACTAGTGACTCTTTGATCTAATTCAAACTGCCAAACAAAGTTAAATAAATGAAAGCTGTTTCTTTTTTGCATATTATTTCCTGACAAGCTTACTTAGGTTACATTTTATTTACAGCCAAGATGAAGAAGAACAGGATGGATTCCCAGAAGTTCAGACTTCTCCACCACCTTCACCTTTTCTTTCTGCCATATTGGCAGCTTTCCAGCCAGTTGCTTATGATGATGAAGAGGAGGCCTGGCGCTGCCACGTCAATCAAATGCTGTCAGATACTGATGGATCTTGTGCAGTCTATACATTTCATGTGTTTTCAAGGTTGTTTCAGGTCAGTGAGTCACTAGCAGTTGGTTTCTGATAAGCATTTCCTTTTCAAAGCATCTTTTGTCTTGTATCTTTCAAATATCTTATGCTACCACAATCTGATGGGGTATGTACTTACAAACAGGCAAACTAGATGAAAATAATTTTATTTCATGGTCATATGCTATCATTTCTTTGGGTTATCTGTCTTATTCAATGCCCAGGATGGATGTTGCTCAGGAAATTAAGCATTTGTTTTTTATTTCTTTTTAGCTTCTTGATTTAATATGCAGCCCCTTTATTATTTGCTGAACATCATCCAAACCCTGTACTAATTATGGAACTATTCATTTCCTCGTGAGCTTTTCTGTCATAGTCATCATCACAGTATCTGAAGCTGACAAGCATTAATGAATTTATCTTCATAATAGCTCTGTGAGAAAAGTAATTTCCCTAAAAAGAGAACTGAAGCACTGGGGAGAGATTAATGCTAAACTATTCAAATCATCATTAATTAGACATGTGTTAATCCTGACAATTTACTGGGAGAGGAAAAATAGTTACTCCATTTTGTAGGTGGAGGAATTGTCACAGAAAAGCCAAGGGACAACCAGAAGACCATGCAATGAATGTCAGAGCCTCCTGACTCCCAACTTTTTGCTTATTCTTCCAGACCTGGCTTACTGACAGAGGTGCTGAACTTTTGCATTCTACCAATGGATTCATTTGAGGCTGAGAACTCAACTATTTAGAATATTAAGCCTCGGGTGTTAGAATGTTGCTCCTAAAAATAAGGAACACGATTAATGATCACCTATGTGAAGGGTAAAAAAATCTGGTTTAAGTGATCGGTCCAGAGTCGCACAGGGAATATGGTCCCCTAAAAGGACCATTCAGAGTTTCATTACAGCAGGGCTGTTCATCTAAGTGCCCAAGGGCTACACCAGTGAGAGCCATGGCCCCCACATTGCACCACATGTCTGATGCCCTTCCTCCTGCTGCTGCATTGTGCACCCAGTTCTCTGGCCGTGGGCTCCCCTATTCATAGAATCATAAAAAAATTAGGGTTGTAAGGGACCTCAGGAGGTCATCTAGTCCAACCTCCAGCTCAGTGCAGGACCATCCCCAACTATATCATCGCAGCCAAGACTTTGTCTATCCAGGTCTTTAAAAAAACTCCAAGGATGGAGATTCTACCCCCTCCTTGGGGAGCCTGGTCCAGTGCTTTGCCACCTTCCTAGTGAGAATGTTTTTCCTGTAATCTAACCTAAACTTCCCTTGCTACAACTTGCGATCGCTGCTCCTTGTTCTGTCGTCTGGTTCCATCGTTTTTGGAACCACCTTTAGATAGTTGAAGGCTGTTATTAAATCCCGCATCAGTCTTCTTCTTCTCTAGACTAAATAAACCCAGTTCCCTCAGCTTGTCCTCATAAGCCATGTGTTCCAGCCCCCTAACCATTTTCATTGCCCTCTGCTGGATTCCCTCCAATTTGTCTACATTCTTTCTGTAGTGGGTGCCCCAAAACTGGACCAGTGCTGAATAGAGGTGGTGCTTCCTTCAATCTGCTGGCAACCATCCTACTAATGCAGCCAAGTATGCCATTAGCTTTCTTCGCAACAAGGGCATGCTGTTGGCTCATATTCAACTAAAAGTCCACTGTAACCTTCAAGTCCTTTTCTGCAGAGCTGCTGCTTAGCCAGTTGGTTCCCATCCTGTACCAGTGCATGGGATTGTTCTATCCTGAGTGCAGCACTTGTCCTTATTGAATCTCATGAGATTTCTTTGGGTCCAATCCTCAATTTGTTAAGGTCTCTCTGAATCCTAACCCTACCCTCTAGTGTATCTACTGCTCCCCCCCAGCTTGGTGTCATCTGCCAACTTGCTGAGGGTGCACTTCATCCCATATTCCAGGTCATTGATGAAGATCTTGAACAAAACTGGCTCCAGAATTGACTGTTGGGGCACTCCACTTGTTACTGGCTGCCAACTACACATCAAGCCATTGATTACTACCCTTTGAGCCTGACTACCCAGTTTTCTATCCATCTTGCAGTTCGTTCATTCAACCCATATTTCCTTAACTTAAAAGTTTATAAAAGAGGCCATTCTTAATGGACTGGCTGATGGCAACATCCTGAGGGATAGCCAGCATGGACTTGTTGTGGGTAGGTCTTGCTTGACCAATCTTATTTCCTTTTATGACTAGGTGACCTATCACCTGGATAAGGGGGAAGAGATTGATATCGTATATCTTGACTTTAAAAAAGCCTTTGATCTGGCATCCCACGATCACCTCTTGGCAAAACTGGCTAACTGTGGCCTCGGGTCCACCATGATCCGCTGGCTGGGAAATTGGCTCCGTGGTCGGACCCAGAGGGTGGTGGTTGACGGAAATCAATCGTTGTGGTGTCCTATGACCAGTGGGGTCCCTCAAGGCTCTATCCTTGGACCTATTTTATTTAACATCTTCATTAACGATGTAGACATTGGTATCAGAAGCGGACTGGCCAAGTTCGCCAATGATACCAAACTTTGGGGTAAAGCATCCACACCTGAGGACAGGAGGGTGATCCAGGCTGACCTTGATAGGCTCAGGAAATGGGTGGATGAGAACCTGATGGTGTTTAACACTGAAAAATGCAAGGTTTTCTACCTTGGGAGGAAAAACCTGCAGCATGCTTATAGGTTCAGTAGTGCTACGCTGGCTAGCACTACGGATGAAAGGGACATGGGGGTCATCATTGACCACAAGATGAACATGAGCCTTCAATGTGATGCTGCGGCTAGTAAAGTGAGCAAAACGCTGGCTTGCAACCATAGATGCTTCTCCGGCAAATCCCAGGACGTCATTCTCCCATTGTATTCAGCCTTGGTGAGGCCGCAGCTGGAGTACTGCATCCAGTTTTGGGCTCCACAATTCAAAAAAGATGTGGAGAAGCTTGAGAGAGTGCAGAGGAGAGCCACATGCATGATCAGAGGTCAGGAAAACAGACCTTATGACTAGAGGCTGAGAGCTATGGGACTCTTCAACCTGGAAAAGCGCAGGCTCATGGGCGATCTGATGGCCACCTATAAGTTTCTCAGGGGTGTTCACCAGGATCTGGGGGAATGTTTATTCATCAGAGCACCCCAAGGGATGACAAGGTCGAATGGTTATAAACTCCTCCAAGAGCGTTTCAGGCTGGACATAAGGAAGAAGTTCTTTACTGTCCGAGCCCCCAGGGTCTGGAATAGCCTGCCATTGGAGGTGGTTCAAGCACCTACTTTGAATGCCGTCAAGAGCAATTTGGATGTTTATCTTGCTGGCATCCTGTGACCCCAGCTGACTTCCTGCCCCTGGGGCAGGGGGCTGGACTTGATCTTCCGAGGTCCCTTACAGCCCTAATGTCTATGAAATCTATGAAACTTGCTTGCAAGACTGTTGTGGGAGACTGTATCAAAGCCTTGCTGAAGTCGAAATATATCACATCCACTGGTCTCTCTGCATCCAGACCCAGTCATCTCATCATAGAAGGCAATCAGGTTGGTCAGCCATAACTTGCCTTTGGTGAATCCATGCTGACTGTTCCTAATCACCTTCTTCTGCTCCAAATGCTTAGAAATGGATTCCTTGAGGACCTGCTCCATGATTTTTCTAGGGACTGAGGTGAGGCTGACTGATCTGTAGTTCCCCAAATCCTCCTCCTTTCCTTTCTTAACAATGTGCTATATTTACCCTTCTTCAGTCATCCAGGACCTTTCCCAATCACAGAGAGTTTTCAAAATAATAGCCAATGACTCTGCAAGCATATCAGCCCAACTTCCTTAGCACCCTGGTACACTGCATCTGGCCCCATGGACTTGTATATGTCCAGCTTTTCTAAATAGTCCCAAATCTGTTCTTTTGCCACTGTTGGCTGCTCATCTTCTCCCCAGACTGTGCTGCCAGGTGCTGACCTTACCTGTGAACACTAAGGTAAAAGAAGGCATTGAGTATTTCACTAAGTTGCCTCCCCCATTCAGTCAGGAATCCTCACTTTCCCTGATCTTCCTCTTCTTTCTGACATATGTGTAGAAACCCTTCTTTTTACCTTCACATTGCTTGCTAGCTGCAACTCTGTGCTTTGGCCTTCCTGATTTCATCCCTGCATGCCTGATCAATACTCTTATACTCCTCCCTAGGTGGTTGTTTAAGTAAGCCTTCTTATTTTAAGCTTTGTAAGTTTCCTTCTTATTTTAGCTCACTGAAGAGTTCCCTGCTAAGCCAAGCTGGTCTTTGCACCATACTTGCCAGCCTTCCTGTGCATCGGTATGGTTTGTTCCTGTGCCTACAGTAAGGTGTTGTGTTTTTTTTACAATACAACCAGTTCTCCTGGTCTCCTTTCCCCCTCAGACTGGCTTCCCAGTAGATCCTACGTGTCAGTTCCCGGCACTGGTGATGCGTAGGGGGTGCACACAGGTGCATGTGCACCCCCGAGTGTGTCAGGGGTACTGGTGCTGTGATTTTGTTTCCCTTTGGCTTCTGCCATTCAGGTTCTCTGTGCTTCTCCAAGACCTCCTGCTGTATTTACCACTCTGGGAAACACATGGCATAAGCAGCAATTTCTCTTCCCTGGCTGCTCATGAAAGGGTGAAACACAGAAAGCAAGGCTTGTTGCACTCCCTACGAAAAGGTGCCACCAATACTGTGCACCCCCTATGAAAAGGCACTGTGATTGCCCCTGGCTGCTGCCGCCACTGCCAACAGTGTCTGTGGGTGGTCGCCAATCCTTGGTTGGCGCTTGCCACCCTGCCCCCCACCTGCCGACAGCACTGGCAGCATCTGTGGGAGCTCCAAACTTACTGCCGCCATGCTCCTGCCGCTGCCATGCCTCCCCAGCTGCCAGGGGGCATGCATCGTTCATGGCTCCTGGAGTGAATCAAAGTCTGCTTTTCTGAAGTCCGGGATTACTCTGCTGCTCTCCATCCTTCCTTTCCTCGGGATCCTAAACTCAGTCATCTTGTGATTGCTGCTGCCCACTCCCCAGTAACTTCCTGGATTGCTT